ATACCACACAACATGAATCAAACATGTACTTCATTTATTTACATTAAATATCAAAAGTACATCAGAAATGATTGAAGCTAAGGGCATACAAAAACTGTCCAACAGTCATACCCCTGGATGGCTTAAATTATTTAAAATGGTCGAGAGGGATCAGGGATCTATAAATGGGAAAATTAAAGAACTTAATTTTGGGAGTGTTAAGTATGACAAATGGAACTAGGAAAACAACATGGTTATGTCATGGCTGTTAGTGTCTATGCAATCTCAGGTGATAAGGAACTTTATGTGGGCTGAAACGGCTTATGAGATTTGGGAATATGCAAAATCAACCTATTCTGAATTGTGCCACTATGCAAAAATCTATCAGTTACAAGCGGAATCATCCACTTGTAAACAGGGGGAGAGGAATCTTTCTATGTACTATTCAGACTTGACCTCCGTCCGGAAGGAGTTAGATCACTATTAGAGTGTGGACTTGAAGTGTGATGAAAATGCAAAAGTGTACAAGAAACTTGTTTCCCAACAACGAGTATTTGCATTTTTCCATGGCTTGAACACTGTCTGAATCCATCAGAGTCTAGATCCTAGGCAGCAAGGATCTTCCATCTGTCCGGGAGGTTTATGCATTAGTACAGTCAAAGGAAAGTAGAAGAAATTTGATGAATAGTTCTAGAGGGTATGCAGTTGTGTTGGCAGTGAAAGGGAATGTTGCTACTGGTGGGGGAAATCTCTTTAAGAAGGGGGACTTTCAAAAAAGGGTGGATGACAAAGACAAAATTTGGTGCACCCATTGCTAGAAACCTCGATACACCCGTTATACATGCTGGGAGCTTTATGGAAAGCCAAAATCGGCTCAGGAATTGAGTAAGAAGCAAGGTTCAGATCTGAATAAAAGTTAGGACAGCAAGGCCCAAGAAAGCTCACTATAGCAAACATGGATACTCAGGAGAATCAGCTCCCTACTACTACTATGACTCAAACACACACCTCTGGACCCAAGGGAGGATATTATTAATTCCTTCCGTGACCATTCGGAACTCTATGGTAGGGCAATTTGTCAGATGGATGCTCCTCCTCCCTCAACTTCATTTGTGTCCACATCAGGTAATCCTGCCACAACTTTTCACGTATCATCTCATTCCATTGACTCTCCTTGGATAATTGATTCTAGAGCATCAAGACATATGACTGGTAAGTCCACTTATTTTCAGACCTATCACCTCCTCTCTGGAAGAAACAAGGTGAGACTAGCCAATGGTTCATACTCTACCATAGTTGGTCAATGAACCATTTCTCTTCTCTTTGGTCTCACCCTGTCTAATGTTTTACATGTTTTAAAATTCCCTATTAGTTCTCTATTAGTAGTATCACTAATTCTCTAAACTGTTTAGTGACCTTTTTCCCTTCTTTTTGTGTGATCCAGGATTTGGCCTTGGGGAAGACGATTGGTAGAGGACGTGTGGTGGATGGGCTCTACATGCTGGAGAATAAGGCTGGTCTTACAGTCACAGAGTCTAAGATTCAGTCTAGTAAGAGTCAGGTCTATTTATGGCACAGTCATCTTGGTCATTTATCTTTTGAGTCCTTAAAAATGGTGTTTCCAGAGTTGTTTAAGTTAGTGTCAGTGTCAGAGTTTACATGTCAAATTTGTCCATTGAGTAAGCATTATAGAACCCATTTTTCTTCAGAGAATAATAAATCTGAATTTCCTTTCCATATTGTTCATTCTGATGTTTGGGGCCCTATTACTTTACCATCTAAGAGTGGCTACAAGTATTTTATTATCTTTGTTGATGATTACTCCAAATACACATGGGTGTATCCCATGCGAACCAAGGATGAAGTACCAAAAATTATCCAAGATTTCCACCAAATGATCTTCACCCAATTTCAAACTGAAATCCTAAGTTTTTCAATCCGATAATGCCAAAGAATATTTTCATAATGATCTCACAGAGTTCTTTTCTTTGTGTAGATCACTCCATTGTAGCCCATGTGCCTGAACACCACAACAAAATGGTGTTGTTGAAAGAAAGAACCGACACCTTCTTGAAGTGGCTCGAGGGTTACTACTTCATATGAATGTCCCGAAACGCTGTCCTTTGAGCTACTTATCTCATTAATCGTATGCCCTCTCGCTGGTTAGAGTGCAAAGCCCCACATCAACTTCTTTTTCCTAAGGCTCCTCTTCTTTCTATTCCTCCTCGTGTGTTTGGTTGCCATTGTTTTGTTCAAAACCTATCACCTACTCGTGGAAAATTGGATCCTCGTTCTATTCCTTGCATCTTCTTGGGGTACTCCACCACTCAGAAGGGATACCGATGCTTTGATCCCGTCTCTCGGAGGTATTATGTTTCTATGGATGTCTCTTTCTTTGAGAGTGAGCCTTTCCTCCCTGTTTCTCCTCAGGGGGAGTGTACGAATGAGGAAAAACCGGTTCAACTCCCTCCTCTTCCCGATCCTCCTCCCTTTCATATTTTCTTTTGTCGTCACAAAGGCTAGCCGTGTTCAAGAGTTGTGGAGCACCTAGAAGCTATACCACCAATGCCATCAGACTCTCCGGGGGTGGATCCTACCCAACTAAGTACCTTGGTTCCTATTGATGTTCCTGACCCTATTGCTAATGACCTTGACCTTCTTATTGCTCACTAGAAGGATGTTAGGTCTTGCACCACTAAACATCCCATTTTCCATTTTGTTTCCTATGAGAACATTTCACCTTCCTTTCGGGCCTTCCTTTCTTCCATTGACAGTGTTCCTATTCCTAAGAATGTGGTAGAAGCTCTATTGGTGCCTGAATGGACAGATTCTATGAAGGAAGAAATTAATGCTTTGCATAAAAATGGCACGTATGAATTGGTAGGTCTTCTTGAGGAGAAGGAACTAGTTGGATGTAAATGGATTTTCCTAGTAAAACATAGGACTGATGGCACTGTGGAACGGTATAAAGCTTGTTTAGTGGAAAAAGGGTTTACACAAGTGTATGGAGTGGATTATGCAGAAACTTTTGCACTTGTTGCTAAGATGAACTCCATTAGAGTCTTTGTTTTAGTTGCTAATCTTGATTGGGACCTCAACTAGATATCGAGAATGCCTTTCTACATGGTGACTTTAAAGAGGAAGTGTACATGGTACAACCCCCTGGTTTCTGAGCTCAAGGTAAATGAACAAAAAGTTTGCAGGTTAAAAAAATCATTATATGGTTTGAAACAATCACCAAGAGCCTGGTTTAGCAGTTTTCATGTAGCTGTTCAACAAAGAGGATACAATTAGTGTCAATCTGATCACACATTATTTGTGAAAAGAGGGGAAGGAAAAATTGCAGCCCTGATAGTATATGTTGATGATATAGTTATCACTGGTGATTGGAAAGATGAAATTCAAAAGCTGAAGAGATTTCTTGCTACCCAGTTTGAAGTGAAAGATCTAGGTCCTTTAAGGTACTTCCTTGGGATTGAAGTTGTCCACTCACAAAAGGGTATCTTCATTTCCTAGAGGAAGTATGTTCTAGATTTACTCCAAGATACAAGAAAATTGGGAGTGAAGCCTGTTGATTCTCCTATTGATCCTAATCACAAATTAGGTGACTGTCAAGGTGAATTCATCAAGGATGTGAAACAATTTCAAAGACTTGTAGGAAGATTGTTATATCTTTCTATGACCCAACCAGACATTGCTTATGCAGTGGGTGTTTTTAGCCAATTCATGCATGCCCCTAAGACTACTCACCTTGAAGCAATTAAAAGAGTTCCTCAGATATCTTAAGAAGTTTCCAGGTGCAGGTTTATTGTTTCAAAAGCATGGACATTTGAAGGTTGAAGTGTGTACCGATGCAGATTGGGCAGGATCCCTGAGTTATAGGAAGTCGACCAACGACTATTGTACCTTTGTAGGAGGGAACCTAGTTACCTGGAGAAGCAAAAAGTAGAATGTAGTGGCTAGGTCTAGTGCTGAAGCTGAATATAGGGCAATGTCTCATAGGGTGGCTGAAATTATGTGGCTAAAAAATTTGTTGAGTGAGTTGGGATTTACAGTTGATGGACCTATGACCCTATACTGTGATAACAAAGCAGCCATAAACATTGCTGCTAATCCAGTGCTGCATGATAGAACTAAACACATCGAAGTCGACAAACATTTTATAAGAGAAAAGGTTGTCACAGGTGAAGTGTGTACCCCCTATGTCAGTTTTGAAAACCAAATTGCAGACATTTTCACAAAAGTGTTACATCACTTGCGACATCATGATTTATGTGACAAGTTGGGCATAATTGACATCTATGTCCCAACTTGAGGGGGAGTGTTAAAAGTCTGTTAAAGCTGGTGTCGCCAGTAGTACCTGTTGACTCTCAATCTCTCTTCTCTCCTCTCTCTTCCCTCTTCCTTTCTTCTTCTCTTCTGGATAACATCTAGAATTCTATGTTCTACCAGTATTAGAAAACCCAAGAGTATCCACAATTTTCCAAATCCTGGAATTCTATATTCCACCACCTGATGACCATTTTGCATTGTGTGATCTGTATTTGTTTGATATACCTACAAATCATCAGTATTTTGATCACATGGGTGACTGTATGCTACTTCCAACCCCAAGAAAATGGTTTTGTTTTTTTTTGAACTTCAAGATGTATATAGGGAGCATCTTGGTCCTTATCTTTTGATAAGAGTAGGTCTGCTATGACAGCCTCCAATGGTGCTGCCTACAAAAGAGTAAATGCTGTACTTAAATTAAACGTGCTCATTCTATACACATGCAATTTCCTAAACATATTCACAAAACACAATGAAGAAAGAATGAATATAAGTCTTTATTGTATTTTATTTGGGTGGTGTCTTAAATACTTGTCCCTTTTCATTGTTAGTATCCATGCATATAACTGTGCAATGTTACAATTCTTATGCTGCATGTACATGACATCAACCTACCCATATCTAGAAATCTCATGGTTTCTATGTCCACAGAAATTTTCCTCAGGGGACTATTAGTGACATGGTGGCAGATGCTTCTCAAGGGATCTCATTTGTGTGCAATAATATTTCTGAATATGGAGGTGACCTCAATAGGTAAAACACTCTCATGCTTTATCATGTGAATTTCCTTCTCACTGAATGCCACATTATCTTATTTATGTGCTACCATGTAGGATTTATTTAATGGGGCAATCAGCTGGTGCACATATTGCTTCTTGTGCCCTCCTGGAGCAAGCAATAAAAGAAGCTGGTGAAGGAGAGAGCACATCCTGGAGTGTTTCGCAGATAAAAGCTTATTTCGGTTTGTCTGGAGGGTAAATATTCACTGATGTTCTTGCCATTAATCTCTGTGTTTGTCGGTGTTGGTTTTCTGATGCAAGTTACTTCCTAATTATTGTAAACTTGTAAGTCTCCCTTTGATCCATTTACCCCATTTTCTTTCTTTTTCTTTTCAAATCATTGAACAAAAACTGTACAACCTGAGTTGACAAAGTACAGACCTCTCATTTTGCACAAGGACCTGTATCAGACAGAACCAACATGGGTATGGGAACTCACATATGTCAAATTCACAAAATTTGTATCCCTTTTCCAATGTGGTTTTGATGTATTGGCTACATATCCACTTAATTGGATGTGCACCTAGTAGAAATTACCAATGGTTATCATTAAAGATATGGTTGCAATTAACAGTTGAAGCTTGAGCATGTTTCGATTACTGACAAGGAATTTCCTTTTAACATCATGTAGTGGATTTTCAGCCTGCTGTTTCATTTTAGGGTTTTAAATTGCCATGCTATAAGTTCATTTGTTGCATTTTTTTGGTTGTTTAGATTTCATTTTTTTCTTCTGATATCAATAATTGAATGTATCAAGTTGAACATAACTTGTGTGAATGATTGGAAATTAAATTCTTATTGTCCAGTGCATGATATGCCCAAAATTTCATACCAATTTTTAGACCAGATCAGGCTTATTTGAGTTCCCTTATAACAACGTTTTTGGGGTCATACTATCTGAATCCTAGTCACAATTCACATGCTCTCACCTGGCACTTGCACCAGAACTCATGCAACTTATCTTAAAAACGAATAATAGTTGTTGCTCTGTTCTTAAATTGTTTAGACAAACATTGAATGTGGCAAATAGGTGACTAGGATCATCAGACAAAAATTATTTGCAAACAATATCTCAACTAGAACCCATTTAATTGTAGATCTTGCTCCTGCGTGTTCTCCTGTATATGGTATATGACTGAAAGAATACTCAAATATCCCTTTGTATGCTGAACTCATGTAGAAGTATTTCTCTTTCATTCAGTAGACGATCAAGACTACAATCAGCTTTGAACCCTAATAGATTTCAGATTAGGAAAAATAGAAGAAAAGTAAGAGAAAGAAAGAAAAGAGAGGAGAAGAACTGGAGAACACAAAGGTTTGAAAGAAGGGACAGATTCTGATAGATCTGCCACCGCCACTCTCTTAGTATTTATAGGTTATGTTCAGTACATAGGGGAAAAGGACAGATCTGCCCTTAGTACTTACATGACAAATAAAGCAAATAAAACTGAAATAAATAACAACTAAAATAACAAACTGACACTACCATGACTGAAACAAATAATTACACATACTGTCCTACGAACACAGTGGGGACCACAGTTGTGGGGCCCACATCAGTGTTCTCTACACATTCAATAATTGAATTCTAGTTTGTGGGTTAGAGCATTTGAGAATGTTCTAATCTTTGCTTTTAATTTTGCTAAGGTTCAAAATATTGATACACTTGTCACCTAACACAACCATGCATATCGGGTGTTTCGGCTACATCAAAATATTTTTTTTTAATTTTTTCACTCTCATATTTTCAAAGGGAACCAAATTAATGTCATTTAACATTTGAAAACATAAGTTTTTTAAAATAAAAAAAACCTTAAAACATGCATGCCTGTGACTTGCCAATACAATATGATATGCCCCATATCAAGCATATCATATCAAAATTTTGAACCTTGGGTTTTGTTGCTTTGTTGACAATCACAGTCCAAAGACCTAACAATAATGCTTTGAAGTAGTCATATCCATTGGTATGTAATATTACCATAGTTTTCAAGGCGCCAAGGCGAGGCTGGGCGTCAGGGGGGTGCCTAGGCGATGAACTTTTTTATATAGAAAAAATAGATCCTAGGGTAGTTACCTAGGTACCATAGCCATATTTCCTTAATAATAATTTTCATAATAAAAGTATAGAGTTCATGTTAAAGTATAGAAAATCAACATATTCATGAGAAGAAAAAAAAAGAAGAAAAAGAAAATTCAAAAAATATAGGGTCTGAACCCTTATTTTTGTTATAGTAGTAGTAGTCAATCTAGACTACAATCAGTCTTGAATTAAAAGAGAAAAATGATGAAAAATTGAAGAGAAGAAGAAGAGAAGAGAGGAAGAAAAGAAGTACACGAAAAGAGTTTCAGAAAAGAGAGAGAAGGTCATAATTTCTGCCAACCCTCTCTTAGTATTTATAACTATTGGCTAACTGTAAAAGGGCTGAATTGCCCTTATTGCTTACAAGCTGCATGCTGGAAGTGATATACGAAAGACACACTTCTTGAGATGAAACCTTTTCTCTGACAAAATGTCGGTCTGCTTCAATATGCTTAGTTCTATCATGCTGTACCGGATTATGAGCTATATTAATAGCAGCCTGATTATCACAATACAGCATTAAGGGCTTCTCATAAGCAATACCCAACTCCTCAAATTGTGATTTCAACCATAGGATTTCAGCCACACTATTAGCCATGGACTTGTATTCAACTTTTGCACTAGAATGATAAACAACACTTTGCTTCTTACTCCTCCAGGAGACCAGGTTACCTCCTACAAAAGCACAATATCCAGAGGTAGACCTTCTATCATCAATACTCCCAGCCCAATCAACATCTGTATAAACCTCTATCTTCATGTGATTGTTATTCTTGAATAGT